GCGTAATCGGGCGGCTGCGCGCCAAATCGATTTGTCTTCAGTCCTTAGGGACTCAATTTATGTTTTCCACTCCGCTTGTTTTAATAAGCGGGTTTCGGTCCTTATCTCGTTCTGTATCTTGCGAAACTGGGCACGGATATTGGGATCTCGTGACCTTTGCCAAATTCTTCGCAAGTAGTTCCGCTGCTTAATTTTGAATTTAGTCTCAGGTGGGAGCCTAGCACCTGGGTGTTTGCGTGGTTTTGAAGCCGCAGCTCTCGCTTCTTTCAGTAAAGACTCCAAACTTTTAATATGCCTGTCAAAGTCCGAATTGCTGGAAATTTTGATGGGAGGGAGTGAAGTTTTTTCCAAAATAAATCTAAAGTTGTCCCAATTTGTTGAGACTTGCTCCTCTAATTTTGAGTATCGATTTTGAATATCTAGGGTTATCAAAACGGGGTAGTGATCAGAGTCCAATTCCTGAATCACTTTTATCTCATGCCGAAAAAAATATATTATAAAAGGCAGCCAGATCAAGAACTGCAGGGGACCCTCTAACAGGGTAAAAGGTCGGGAGGGTAGGAGCTATGATCTGTACATGGTTACTCTGGCACCATGAATTTAGACTAATACCATACCTGTTCCTATTAGAACAAAACCATGCGGTATGGCGTGAATTTAGATCACCAGCAATAATTAGGTGATTTGAAAAGTTTATCAAAATCACTGACAGGAAAAGCTGGCCTTTCACGTGCTGTAGACAGTGGAGGTAGATAAGCTGAGACTATTGTCAGCGGGGAGGAATTTTGAAGGAAAATTTTGATGATTGTCGCTTCCAAAAAATTTAAATCAGGGGATGGTATCATGTGGTGCTTTAACGAACGCTTCACATAGATACAAGTGCCACCACTGGGATATATGCCCTGTGACACCCTGCCAGTACAGTAAATGTCATAATTCCCAATTTTGGGAGAATTCCCTGGGGTAAGGTGAGTCTCTTGGACTAAAAACACGTCAATACCGTGCTCTACTACAAAATCACGAACTTCGTAGATTTTAGGTGCCAATCCATTGGCATTCCACGTGCAAATGGTCAGTTCTCTGGTGGTATTTGAACTGTCATTCATAAAATTGAATTTTAAGCCGTTATTAGATGTTCATCACTGAAAAACAGAAGACATGGGTCTAAAAATGCCGAATTAGGTTGAAAGCTCAACATAGCTTTCATAAATATAAAATGCCCTCATTAAAGCATCTGCTTGCCTGAGTTTAGGCATTGCTTTTTTGAAGGCAAGGAGCAGAATATGCTTGTCTACCGCTGGGTCGCGGGAGATTTCAATTAAGCATTTTAGTGTAGATGAAAAGACATCGTCGGAATCATTGCTACACTCTGCTGCGGCTGACACTGCTGGGGCTGCAGGGGATTTTGCAACCGGCAGTCTTGGATTCGTGGATTTGAATCCGTGCTCGGTGATGTTCTTCACCATCTGTGCATAAGATGGTGAACGGACGTTGCTTGGGGAAGCAGGCATGGGACGTCTTGTCTCAGCAGTTGCTGGGGGCTTAGAAGAACCCTACGGGGGGGCTGTCTGAGCAGCTGCCTTAGTCTTAGGCGCGGAATTTTTACCACAAGCCCGTTTGTTACCTGGATAGCGGGAACAAAATTTGTAAGAAGCAGGATGATCTCCACCGCAGTTGCAGCAAGTGGCAGGTACATCTAAGCCTTTGGTACACTCACGTGCCCACTGGGGTCCAGAGCATCTGACACAACGGATTGGAAGGGTGCAGAGTTCCGAAGAATGGAAAAAGCCCTGACACCGAAAGCACTGAGTAGGGCCCTTGCGGCCGCGGTAACGCTCAATGCTGATCTCTGTGCCCCACATGTCAGTGACGGCAAACAGATGATCGAGGAAGGGGTGGGATGACTTGTAAATAAACAAGTGGCATTGGGTGTCTGGAGCCAGGCTGAGTAAGCCGAACGATGAGATACACTTTAAATCCCATCGCCTCAACTTCCTCTTTGATGTCCCTGACGTCTGTTTCAATAGAGAGGCCTCTGATAACAATTTTGACTGGCTGGTCCTGCTTGAGATCGAAAGTTTTGAACTGGATGCCGGCTTGCTTCATTCAGCGGGTGACCTCCCTGAACTCCAGCTCTGTTTGTACAAAAATTTTGAGATATGGTCAAGTCAGAATGCTCCGTAAATTTGGGGAAATTTCTCTCATGAAAGACACTTGTGTCTTCCAGTTCTTGCTGCTTTTGAGGTGAATTGCCGGAATCTCAGGCTGCGGTGGGGGGGGGATACGTTTCGTGCCTGCTCGGAATTTACTCCCTCTGGTGCTCTCACTTATTCATTTTCAGAGTCATTATTTACAGTCATCATTTAAATGATCATTAATAATTGAATTTTTGATACGTTCATACTTATTAGCAGTCCTCTCCTTTTTAGGAGTAGCATTTTTTGTGCTATTGACTAATTTTGAATTTGGAATAACAGAAATGGGTTCTTTAACGTTTTGAGCCGAATCATCTATTGTTAGATCCACAATAGGCGCCTTCCTTTGCTTTCGAGCCGCAGGGGCGATAAACCCGTCAGAGTCGATTGTCTGCGTCTTTCGCTTCCGCGATGACGTCGACTGGACCGGTTTCCCCTGCACCTCGTGCGTGGGAATAGGATGCCTCATGGTTACGAAGGATCTTCTGCGGATTTGAGCGGCGGGCCATCTTGGCTAAGCGCTCGCTCTCCAATATATTCAAAAATTCCTTCTCTGGTCGAGGGAAGGTGGAAAAATAGGTACATCAAGAGGTATTTGCCAATGTGATTTAATCTTATGAAAAAGTGACTTACCCGCCCGGTCGAGCTGGTCGTATCCATTTGAAGTCCAGTGGAGTTGGAGTCTTCTTCATGAAGTTTTTCTGACGCTGTATAGCCTTCGAATTGCTTGCTTTTAGGTCGTAGAACTTGATTACCAGATTCATGCGTTCGTCATCTGGCGACGCTGATTGCACAGAGGGAGCCTGATCCCTAATCTCACACATTACTTCATCATTAGTATCATTTTCCATGATAAAATTTCCGGAATTGCCCTGCGTTGGCGGGAGCTCGTTACACGAGCGACCGTCATCCTCGCCGTCCATCCTCGGAATCCTAAGAAAGTTGCAGACAGGGTGCAAAAAGCGTATGGGATTCGAACTCACGACTGCAAAAAACTCAACATCCTTACCATCAGCTTTACCACTAAGCTAGCATTGCACGTGAGTCGCATGCATATTTTGGCTTATATACATCATCAACTAAATCAATTCTTAAAACTTAAGTTTTATGGTACTATTTCAGTGTGCTATCGTCTGAAAAATTTACCAAGTTTGTTCTTCAGCTTCTGGTACATTTTTTACAAAAATCATTATCTTTTAAAGTGGCGTTCGGACTGAAGTTAAACGGGCTGCTAAAAATATATTTCATGTGCTTACAAATATATGTTATCCAAAAAGATATATTTATAAAGGGAAATACAAATTTAACATACTCTTCAATGAACTGGAGTATTTAAAAGGCTATCAAATTTAATTTATAACTAACGTTTTTAGTTTTTACCTGTTTCAAAAGAAAAAAATAGGAAATCTTTTAATCATATCTAATTTGCTATAGCAGTTTGATATAGTGAAACATTCATTTTAATCAAAGCTAAATGAGTATGCAGAACTAAAAAATGATTATCAGAAGAAATTTTGCTATTTCATGGACTTGGAATTATAATTTTTGCCGCTGATTTTCTTGAACGAACAAGTACTGTAGTTGCAGTTATCTTGTTTTTCTTATCATTTTAAACTAAATTCAGATGATTTTTGTCTTTTTCAGCACGCAGATTTCTCGCTATAATGTTAATTCAGAAATAAGTATTTTTTAGAAAAACATTATTTCCTTATTGGCGAGCGCTCATCGCTACTTCTGCCGCCATTAATTTTTAGTCACTGCATTGATTGCTCCTTTTTTACCATGTGACCCCAACGCATCCGCAGACATACGGATAGAAGTTGAACATTGTTGAACTCCATCCGTATGCCATCCATCACCGCACACCGACCGAATTGCAGATGTCAATCAAAGTGAATTCGCTCGCTGATTGGAGACGCATACTCACCGCAACGCATACGCAGCAGTGGAAACGGGCCTTTACTCATAAATCCATTTTGTGACTCATGCTCTGTAACGCTTGTCCAGTGTGGGCGTATTCATATAAAACTCTACGTAAAAACTGCAAACTGCCCAGAATGTTTTGCGGCAAATTACAAACGCACCGTACTATATTTGAAACAATACAATTCATGCGCAACTAGGCATAAATCCACTGAGAAGTTTTTAGTACCACCTGGCCAGACCAGTTTTGCATTCGTTTACGTACTATAAGTAACTCTGAACTCAGAATTTATAATGACGATTATAAGAACGATACTAATAAAAAAAAAAAGGCCAATGTCCATTCTGAATCCAAATGTAATCATGGAAGTCTGAATTTTTATATTTACTTTGTCATGTTATTCGGTAATTTTTTGTTTTTATTTATGTATATTTATATTTATATCTTGTGTGTATTGTATGTATTTGTTCACCACCTGAGACATACTGATTCAAAATTACCTTGATTACATAGATTTAGACAACTTTTGAGGCTTGAATTTATAGTGCGTGAATCTCTTCAAAATTTAAATTGCAAAAAAATTACTGCATCTCAAATAAGCTACTTTGTAAAATATTTAGAAACTTTCAACCAAGTTCGATTTTTGCCATTCTTATGGTTGTTGTCATCTCTGTTGCTTGGAATCATATTTTTCGATTATTTCGAGAGCGAACTGACTAAATTATTATTTTCAGAAGAAAATGTATTTCACCTGGAATTTAAATTTTGCGCCAGTATAAGATTATCTTTCTCTAATTTTACATTTATTGCCGCCCTTTTCCTGTTAAAATGTGAGAATGCGGATATTTTACACACTATGCCTGGAGCAGAGTTGACGCCTAAACATAGATTCCTTCTCTAAATGGTATATTAACATCGATAGGAAATGAATTAGAGAATGCCTGGAAATGAGTCATAAAAATTAATAAATTTGTTTCCGTTAATAAATAAAATAAATTGTCTGAACTGAATTTTTCGAGCGCAATATCTGACCTTCACAGGCGTTTTGCAAGGTGCTCTTGTTTACAGTAGTTTGGGTTTCCTGATGCATGTGATAGAAGGTATTGTTATCGTCAGTGTCGTCGATTATCGATGGTGTGAGTGATGCAAGTGTGTTTTCATGTCTACTAAATCTCGACCTGCAATCTCGCGTTTTCAGATAAAATTTAAAGCCCTGAAAGTGAGAAGTTCTAGGAACGTTTGTGAAGAACGTTTAGCATGTAAAGGTATCAAACCGTATGCAACGTTTACATGCAGTGAATGTGGGTCTAATCAATGTGAAGAGTGTGAAGCTTTGCTCCACGAAGATTTTCGTTTAAATTTACACTCTAGGCAATTGATAACTGGACCATCTGCAGAAGAATTGTGTGAAGGAGATTGTAAAGACCGAAATTATGCAGATGTGACATGTTCTTCTTGTGGTTGTAACTACTGTTACGTTTGTGATCACATCTTTCATTCACAAGGAAAACAGAACCACCAGAGAACAAAATTTGTATCTCAGAACGAGGAATTCCTTTCATGCGAAGAAATTCCTGAAGAATGCTTACCTGTTACTGAAGAAGCTGATATTGCAAATGAAGCAGAGAACGATATGTTAAATTTAGATGAAATGTTCTCTTTAAATTCCAACGGCAGTGATATTTTACCTGATTTATTCCCAGAGCATGAAATTGAAGCAAAGTATAATTATAATAAATGTAATAAAGACAGTAAACAAATTAAAAGTTTCTTACTTATAAATGAGAAAGAAATTTTGCAGGTAGAGTATTGAAACGTTATTTTAAAACATATGTAATCTTTTATATATATAATTTTTCCCTCTATAAACTTTGAGGTGGTAGTAAGTTTTGATATTTATTCTACTGGTACGAAAGTGTTATTTATTATTTTCTGGTGTATTGTGATTTTTTTTTAAACAATGAATTTTCAACAATTAATCATATTTACTTGTCCATATATCCTTTCCTTTTTTTTTTCTCTTGTTTTACCTTTTGAAAATCTAGAAGTAAATATTACGAGATGTGTACCTTTTCTGGTAGGAAGACTTAAATAAATTAAGAACAGGCATTATTTGAAATATGGTGTATCATATATTTAAAATAGGTTATTATTTCAGTATTTTTTTAAAATTGCTTAGTGTGCTTTCTTGTCTCGGTATACATCTTAATGTTGCTACTATGCATAAATTTCAAAATTATGTGCTGCAAAAGGTAGAGAGCAGATGTTAGTAAATATGGTACTTAAATAATCTTACTGCAAGTAATTTAAAGTAATTTCTGTGATTTCTTTTGCAAGATTTTAAATCTGTTTATATTATTACTTTCATTGCAGTTAATTATTGTTAAATTTCAGTTATGTATTATGAAATTTTTATTGCCAGGTCATGAAAATAAATTTAGAAGGATCATTCACAAATCTTTTGAAAATTACTCAGTTTACTGACCTAAATTAATAACTAAATCATGCTTTGTAACAAAACACTACTAGAGCATTAAATTATGATGTATGAGATGTAAAATTGACAGACACACTTAAGAGCTTGCAGTTTTATTAAATTGTTGAGATGGTTTTCATGAATGATTTAAATGGGTTTCTTTTTAATATTCTGGTAAAAGTATAGTTTAGGCGATTTTTGGCGGTACATGGATACCGATTTTGTGCAATTCTTTGACTCGTTATTTTGGCTTGCGAAGCGGCGATATCTGCGCCAAAATCACTGCTACACAAAGCCAAAATAACAAGACAAACAATTGCACAAACTCGGTATCCATGTACACATCGACTTATTTTCACTTAAAAAAAACCCCCTGATTGCACAAAAATGGCATTGTGCACTCCTTTGACTTTATCCATGTACACGTCGACCTATTTTCACTTTAAAAAAATCCCAGAATTGCACAAACTTGCATTGCGCACTCCCTTTACTTTGTCCATGTACACATTGATATATTTTCACTGAAAAAGTCAAAGGAGCACCAAATTCTACAACATAGGCAAACAAAAAATACATAATCTCAATAAAATACATTTTAAACCAAACAATAATATAAAAAAGGAAAAACATGTTATACATTTAAGCACTACCAAAAGCAAATATTCAATATTTTCAAGTTCGCTTCATACACACAGAGCCACGTAAAAATCAAAATATCAATCATACTCAAATGACTTTTTTCAAACCAGGTACTCTTTCTGATCGAATGCTTCACATAGTGACCATCTGAACCTTTCTTCCTACAAACCCATTAAAATCCATCTAAACGGTTTTAACATACACCACAAAAACGCTTACAAAACATCCCATGATTCAAAATTTCCCAGAATCATGCACCCGCTTACATCACAATAGGGTTTCCATAACATTTTCAACTACTCAGGCTACCATAAATGAAACAACAACTTGGCGATAAATCAAACAACAACTTCACCATAATAACAAGGGGTACCTTAAAGTGTACTCTACCCAAAATTCTTAGTGCTAAAATCATATGCAAAAATATAAATAACTTTGAAATTTACTAGAAATTTTGAATGCAAAGTAATAACTTGATTTTTTAAAATTGGTGCATACTGGCATATTTTATTTTGATTTTAACTAAATAGCAAACTGATTAATTTGATGGATGAACTTAACCATTTAATTAATTTTGATAAGTGTTAAAATGTAAAATTATTAATATCAGTTGGAATATTATAATTAAATAAAAACATATGATGCTTTGAAAATTTTCCTCATTATAGAATTATTAACAGATTTTATTAGTTGCATAAGTGTTGTTGCAATCTTAACTATTACTAATCATAGCTGATTGTGATTTAATTGAAACTTAAATACCTGTGTTAAAATCTTTGTCCAAAATCTTTTCTTATGGGTTTCAAATTAGCAAAAACAGTTTTGCTTAAACCTCAAAAGATAATGCTTTTGAAATTTTGTTGAAAAACTACATAACTGAAACAGATATATTGAAGCTCAAATTGTTTTTAGTCACTTGTGTTTTCAATTTTATTTGCAAATATCAGTGAACTAGCTTTATTTTTCTTTGCACATATACTATTGATCGTCTCATTTTAAAACCTACTTGTTCTGAAAAAATGTATTAGAAATTATTTTGGTGCATGTATTTGGATACTTGGAATAAAAAATTTATATTTATTAAAATCATGGTTCTAATGGGATATATCAATATTTCATTGGATCTCCTTTAGCTAAAATTACATTTTTCGTGTACTTTGGCATAGATCCAACTAATTTTTTCATGTAAAAATATTCAGTTTCTTTATTCCATTTAGCTAGTGTATGTGTGTGGGGGAGGGAACTAATGACCATCAGTCTTAATTTAAAGGTAGAAATATTGCTCATTTGTGTGTGCATGTGCATACTTGGGTTGCCAAATAAGAGATTTTGCCAATGTCATTGTTGCCTGTTTTGCCAATATAGTGCATTGCCTTGTATATTTCAAAGGGATGTGCAGGTGACCAGAAAGACATGAATAAAACTCCAAGATTATGTTTCATAGTGGTGTATCAGTTTTCATTTTTTAACATCATGTCTGTAATTGTGATAGTCTTGGGCCATATTTTCTTTGAGATACTATACGCATTTTCATGTGATTATTAGAATCTCAAGTACTTGAGTCTCTTTTGAGATTATACCGCAGTGGATCCCGATTTTTCTCTCATGGATGAAAATTCTCATCTATGTGAAGTATAGCTGATATGTGAGTACCATGAGAAGAAAGGCATTGCTTTGTAGGCAATGTTCAGTATTCTCTGGACCTCAGTCCTATCTAAAATGTTTGGGAGGCTTCTGGAAGAATTATCTTCACTTCAATCTTCTCAAACTGTCATGGAATGCTGACTGCTTGTATGTAAGAATGGCTGTCATTGCTGCTAAATCTACTGTGTTCATTCTCCTGTAATAATTCCTTTGGCAGAAAAAATGAAATGTCGATGCAAAGCTTATGTCAGTGTTTGAGAAAGTCATATTCTTTACTAAGGTTTATTTTCCTTGTGACATACAGAATTGTGTTCTGTGTGTGTCAAAGTTGAAGTAAGCATTTAAATTGCTAAAAATATATTTCAATGCATTTCTTTAATTTTGTTATATTCATTAGCCTCTTTCATGGCCAGATGCCTAAAGTTATTACTATAAAAAGGACAAATGTATACAGTTGTACCTTGAAGTACAAGTGCCCAACATATAATTTTTTTTTTTAGATACAAGCAGTCATTAGATCCAGTTTTTGTCCTGAGTTACGAGTCAAAATTCGAGATACAAGCTAGTATCGGTGACGTTAAGCAGTTAGCGTGCGCAAGACTCCAAATCTGAATCACCAGTCAAATTTGGGAGTTTTGCCAGCTCAAACTGACTGTAACATCACCACTGCTCAGACTCACCTGCCATTTTGGTTCATCTCACTGCAGAAGCATTTCTATCATGTTGTTTTAATTTTGTGTTTTATATTGGTATAGAAGTAATTTAGTAATCATATAACAATAAGTACAGAGAAGATGAGTGTAAAGAATACTTGTGAGGAAAAAAAAAAGGGTGATATCAATGTAAGTAAAACATGAGGTAATAGACAAACATGAGAAAGGTGTAAAGTTAAAAGACTTGGCAATGCAATACGATGGTACAACGTGTATGATATGTACTATTCTAAAGCAGAAGAGCTTGATAATTGCTATTACTCTAGCTAAAGGCAGTAAAATTATTTCAAAGCTTTGCAACTCTGTCTATAAAAAGATGGAGAATCTGCTGTTACTATAGTTGACAAAGAAGCAGTTCCCTAGAGACACTGTCACAAAGACTATAATTTGAAAAAAGGCGCAAGTCATTTACACAGATTTACTGCAACACAGAAAGTTTCACAGGAACAGTTCAAAACCATTTGGGAATGGTTCGAGAATTTCTGAAGAAAGATGAAAATTCACTGCATTGTCAGGCATGGGGCGGCAGCTGAGTAATTTGTAAAAATTATTTGCCGAATTTGTCAAAGCTAAAGGATACATTCCGCAATTGGTATTCAACTGTGACAAGATAGGGTTCTTCTGGCAGAAGATGTAAAGCAAAACTTGCATAACGGCAAAAGAAAAAGAGATGCCAGGTCACAGGCCTATGCAAGATAGGTTGACTCTTGCTCTGTGTGCATATCCAAGTGGTGACTGCAAGATCAAGCTGCTGCTCATATACCACTCAGGAAAACCCACAGCTTTCAAGATGCATAAGAGTTTAAAAAAGAAGTTATAGATTATGTGCAGGGCAAACACAAAGGCATGGGTCACCAAGAATTATTTTGTGGAGTGAATCAACTTGGTCTTTGGTCTTGTCCTTAAAGAAATAATAATTTCTTCTGCCAAATTTCACAATATTAAATTATTTATTCATCTCTATCACTGAATATTGAAGAATCTACAGATATGTATATATGTTCCTCACAGTGTGGAAAAATGGTGACACCTATAGCAACCAAATTTTGAACACACATACTTTTTCTTCTCAACATGTACCTGGAGGTCAATGTCTTACCCATGCAAGCCCTTCTTGTCCTTAGCAAAGCTGCTTGCTATCTACCAAACCACGAGGATGACATTCCGAAGTAGTTCAGCTTTGTAAAAGTTCTTCCACCAGCGCCATCCTTATCCTACATTCCATGGAGCATCAGGCGACTCCAGTTTCAAGAAATTTTTTACCAAACACATGTGTCAACACTGCTTTGATGTTACAGAGAACACAAACTTCACTCTTTGAGAGTTTTGGCAGGACCATCATAGTATTGCCTTATGCTTCAAAATTATTGATAAGGTCTGGCAGGATATTACAGAAAGGACCTTGACCTCTGCATGGAAAAAGCTGTGGACTGAAAAAGGTTGTGACTGAAAAAGGACTTTGAAAGATTTAGACCTGAATAGGAAGTGCTAGAGCAGATTGTGTATCAGAGAAAGTCCATGGGTGTTGGAATAGATGAGAGATATATCAAAAAGCTTATTGTCACATAATCCGGAAAACTGACAATGGAGTTGATGGAACTGCAGATGCAGCAACAAATGGAATTTCTGCAGGAGCCAGAAGTGGAGGAGGCTATCTAACGCATTTTGAATGAAAGTGATGGAAGCCTGGCAAAAAAGAAAAGAACTACTGAAGAAGAAAATAAAGTTAAGCAAAAATGAGAGTGACAAGTTTAATACATATGTCATATGCTAATCTAATATGTATGCATTTATTTCTTTAGCTTTTATTAGGTTTTATTTAAAAAGATTAAATTATTAGTTTTATTTTTTATATATAATATTTGTATATTATAAATCTATTTTTCATATGATAAAAACATTTAACAAAAAAAGGCGGGTTAGCACAAATTAATCAATTCTGTTATTTCAATGACGAAAACTGATTTGAGATACAAGGAACCTTGAGCCCTTACAAGGAACGAATTAAGCTCGTATCTGTAGATACCACTGTAATGATTTTAATTCCAGCTAGTGCAATATCATCTGTCTAACTAATAATTAATAGTAGTAGAGATTATAAACTGCATTTATTGATTTCAATTTGTTTAGTCTGTTTATCAGTAACGAAAGATTAAATCTGGAAAAAAACTTAAATATCTTGTGCTTTGCTGAATTGGCACTTGAAAGATGAACGTAGTTTGGGAAATGACTATACATTTCTTTAAATTGCTCAGTTTGATTATTAAATTTGAAAAGCAAATATCTTATGCTTTACCATACATTGATTTATACAACATACAGTGGCAACACATTGGTTTTAAATTGCAATTAATACAAAATTTAAGTGAATAAAAAAAATTAAACTCAAAATTTGGTCATCAAATTGTACATATAGAGAAAAAAAAGTATGTGTGTTCAAAATTTGGCTGCTTATAGGTGCCACCATTTTTCCACAATGTGAGGAACATATGTACATATCTGTAGGTTTCTTCATTATTTAGTGATAGAGATGAATAAATAATTGAATACTGTGAAATTTGGAATAAGAAATTATTTATACATTAGAGGCCAAATAGACAAGACCACTGAATACTGATTATTTGACCTGGTAAACAAGGTGATTATGTAAGTGTTTTTGTTAATTTTTGCATGTGTAACTAAATATGAACCAGTTTTCTTTAAAAATTCTCTAAGAAAGCATCATTATGCATCTTATGTATGCTGACATGTTTTTTTTCTTTAACAGGTCGGAGATGGAGAGCAGTTTATATCAAATCTTGGTTGTGGCAACACTCAGCTAAAAGTTGTGTCCATTTTTGGTAATACAGGGGATGGAAAATCTTACACATTAAATCATACATTTTTTGATGGCAGGGAAGTATTTCAGACGTCATCAGCTCAAGAATCTTGTACTGTAGGTGTATGGGCAGCTTATTGTCCTTCTTTAGGAATAATTACTATAGATACTGAAGGATTCTTAGGACAGGCATCAAATCCTAATTTGAGAGCTCGTATGCTTTTGAAAGTAAGTAACAGTTTTTAAAATCGTACTATATATTTGTATACGACTTCAAATTTCTGCTTCTGAATATTATTATATTATTCAATCTGAACCATGTAACATTCATTATTTACAAAAATACTTGTTACTTTCGTAATGATAAAAGTGGTACTGCAAGCTGAGTTCCTCTCTTTTCCTTTTTGAGTGGACATTTTAGGTTGGTGATTGGACATTGTTAACTAGATGCTGTAACCTTTTGTCAGCAGTGTTTGCATAATTCTGTTGGTACAGGAATTAGTTCAAAACGTATTATGAATTGGTAGTGGTTCAGCATTAGCCTAGGGGTTGGCACTTTTACACTTATAGTGCTGAAATTTTCTGCAGAGTTCTGAAAGATTGTTTTCATGTTTGCTGTGCTGTTTCAACTGCTTTTAAGTTAACTGTTTATATCATCTTCAGTATTGCTTCGATAATTGGGAATTAACTGTACTTGCAAGATACTAAGATCTTTCATTGTTAGTTATACATTTTCCTTTATGGTTACACTAAAGTGACCACACGTCCTGATTTTGGCGGGACAGTCCCGTGTCCCGCCGATTTAAAATGTCCCGCTTTTTAGAAAACATCTGCATTTCTTATTTTAAATATATTGCAAAAATATAATACCTATTATTTATTAATAAAAACACATAAAATAAAAAAAAGCCACATAAAATGCATGCAGAGTAAACTAAATTAGCCGATGTAACGAGTTAGATTTACTCGGTGGTGTTCTATCATTGTCATGATGGCTTGTCAAGAAATATGTATTGTTAACGGAGGAAAAGCTAGCATTAGCTAAAGGGCTTTTTGCTTTCCACACCATAAACCACAATCAAAGTTTCAGATCAATTGATTGTACTTCGCAAATGATCAAAACATTGTACAATAAAAAATTTGCACGTGCAAAGACAAAAACCGAAGGAATTATTTGTAATGTTTTTCACCATATTTGTTTTCACAATTGCAGAAAGAATTAGATAAATGCACATTTATGTCCATATATTATGATGCTTCCAATCATAAAGATTTAAAATTATTTCCCACAATTGTTAGACTTTTTGATGCAGAAACAGAAATTAAAATTATAATATTAGATTTTGTTTCATTGCCGGGTGAAATTTTGTTTTTCCCCCATGGCAGATTGGGAACAATTACAGTTATGTAACAGAGTCCATTAATCTATACTAAAACCAGATGTGGTGATCTCTGTATTATGGAGGCACCTAATAGGTGGGCCACCATTGCCTCCTATGAAGGGACGGACAGTTGCAACCATGCCTTCTCTGGGATTTGAACCCAGGCCCTTTGGTATTGCAGTCAGGCTCCCCTAACCACTATACTGTCTGGGCGGCTGCCAGGTGAAACTTCATAAATAAGTTTTGATTCAGTGAGTACTATTTTAAAAAAGAATAATTTGAACAATAAAATTATTGCATATTGTGAGGCAATAATTTTATTGTTGACACTAACACAAATTTTGGTGGAGAAGCTAGAAGAGGCATCAATAGTGTTTTTCTGAAACTTAGCGAACCGTTTGAACCAAAAAATTATTCGAGTAGGTTGTGCAGCACACATTCTACACAATACTGTTCTAACAGCATCTGACTTACTTCCAGTAGATGTTGAAAATATTATTTCAAAAATTTATTCGTATTTTTATATATATATACAGTCAAAAGTCGTTAATTCGGACACCTATAATCCAGAATGATCTATAATCTGGACCTCAAAGCTACAAACTTTCTGCGCATGCGTCAACACATGAATCGAAGCAACTTAAACAACTGCCTATGTGCATTGAAAGAAATGCACATAGGCATTTACGCATGCGCGTAAGACCTTTACGACTGTTGTTGGAAAATATAGCTTATTTTTAAACCTTTTACTGCATCATCTCTCCTCCTTGAAATGTTTATTTAGTTTAGTCCTTATTGTAATGTAATATAGTAGTTACTTCTACTTCTTTTTCTTGCTGCCACTGTTTGCATTGAGAACGGACTGTTTCAACCTAATTGAGATGCAAAAACGAAACATGATGTTACGTCATCTGAAAGGCCGATTCGTGCCGATAGCTGATTGGTTGCCATGAGATGACGTCATTCCTACTTCTGCTATAAGTATCTCGCGTCGCTCTGGCTCAACCCTTCTAGTTCCTGCTTTCCCGGCACGTGAGCGACCGGTTTCCAGCCCCTTCAAAAGGATGCATGCAGTCCGGTGAATAAAATGCCTTGGTTCCGGTTTGCGAGATGATGATGGTTCCAGAATAAAGTTCTTCGGTTCCAGAGGCTACCATGTGAGTGACTGCCGTGGGCGGCATCCATGTTCTTCAATAAAGGCGGCAATTAAAAATACGTGAGCGGCGACTCCTTGTGCAAATGGGGTTAGGCCTGTTTTAAGTGCTTTCAAGAACTTCATTTAAATTTTCAGGTGTTTTTCTTGACCATTGATTATGGACTTATTGAATGGGAAGCCAGCTTTATTTTTAGGCCGCATAATTACTGTTTAGGACATTTTTGTTTGTATAGAATGCCAGTGTTTTGGAGACCAGGTAAAAATACTGTTTGATGAATGATGATTATATTATATTTTTCCTAAGACTCTAATATTGTTGACATTTATTTTCTGTGTTTTTATTCTTTATTATATTGTTAATAAATTGGTTAAGTTCAAAATCTTTTATTGTCTTCAATGTCTGCACAACATATCTCAGGGAGCTTTTATTGCTACTACTGCTAAATGTTTAATTTCTTTAAACTTTAAACTTTGCTTTAGCATCAGCTGTGCATATGAGTGTGCATGCGCATAATATGTTTTACGCATGCGCGTTTAATGTATAACGGATGGTATAAGCTAAGCTAAAATTATCTAATTCAGTTAATGTTGCAGATTGCGTTTTTCCTTAATCTTCGAATTGGATTCGGCTTATTATTTTTTGTAGACTGTTAGAGCAATTTTATAAAAGTAAGCTTGAACTTTCGATTATGTCAAATAGAATTAACGATATATATTTACTAATATGTAAAGGATCTACAAAGCGAGAGTATGCTTCGAACTCCATTAAACAGAAAGTGGAATTGCTGCAAAGAATGGATAAAGGCATCTAATCATTCCGAAATATGTCTATCAATTTCATGCTGCTCTGCGGTGAGAGGGAAACGACGCGGCGCACAACGAATTGGAAGTTGATCTGTCAGCATTATCCTTACCTTCAGGGCAGATGTTTTTATTTTATTTGGCTTATAATTCCTTACTAAATGTAGTATTTACTTTCGATGTACTCAGTCTTTGATATGATATAAATCAAGTTCCTCGTCATTATAATTCGTCATTGTTGGTAATTAATTTTGCCTTAAAATTTAAATTTTGAATCGTTAATGTTTTCCAACTTTCTGCAATAAAATGGTGGCTAAGCCAATCTTCAAACACTGGAGTATTGTCCAGCCTTAGAATTTTTTTCCAAATCACTGAAAGGCTTATTCTTAAGAACTTAGATTCTGTGAAGAATAAATTGCTGGCGATATTAAATTGCATTCATCACTTCAATTTCACTCAGCATTACAGTAATCTTTTTTTTGACACCAAATACAAGAAATGCTTTTTTTCTTGTGATGCAATAAATGTGTTTTGCTATCCTTTTATGGAAAAGACTCATTTCTACATTGTTGAAAGTAATTTTAGAACAATATGCGTGTAAGTAATGTGCTTATGTAATAGCCCTCAGACACTTCCTAGTTGTTGCAATGTTGAGCTAGTTACAGCATTGCTTGAACTGATGAAACCAATTATTGCTAACGGCACATGGTTCTTATTGTGAAAAGCAATGTATAATTGATTTGAGTCTCCCCCACCCCCACATCAAGTCTGCAGCGATATCTTCCATGAGACTTCTGGTAGCTCAATTTAGCCTGGGTAAAGTTGTCAGAAGTCATAAAATCAAGTACAGTGCAAGTTGTAAAATGAATAAAGTCCAAGGTTTTACCCGACAGACAAAGAGAACAGACATCATTAGCAACTATACCAATGCAGTGCAAGTGTTTATTTAGAAAGTCATGTCCTGTCGAGAGTTGAAAATTTTCCGGGAAAACTGCATGGTGCATGTCTTTTGGGATAGGTGATAATACAGGAGTATTCCACACTTCATCAGTTGAAAGGAGTTTATACTCTTGTTTTAAAAGTTGGTCCTTTTTCCTCTTTATCTCAGAATTAAACTGATGGTTGTATAGAGGAAAATGTGGCTAGGGTAGCTTACAGCCATTTTTAGCCAAAAGATCAGCTTTTTCATTTCCAGGCACCCCACAGTGGCTGGGGATCCATTGAAAAACAAGCTTCCAGCCATAGGCAATTGCTTTGGATACATTTCTCTTTGTCTCTTTAACAAGAAAGTAATAACTAGGTGTATAGGTGACAGTTGCCATAATTGCAGCCCAGGAGTCAACGAATATAACTGTCTTGCTAAAGTTAGTATCAAGTCCAAGAAGATTTAAAATTGCTTTTCCAATGGCAAAAATTTCTGCATCAAAGTTAAAGGCATTAAGACCAACAGCATAGGATTCTTTAAAATATCTGTGGCAACAGTTAGATTCATCGCATAGTAATGAATTGTCATAGTGACAATAAGCTATAAGCTTGGAACAACAATTATTATATTTTTAACTTTTGAGTTTATATCATCATGATAAGTTTCTTTCCTGTACTTAGATATTTTTAACTGGTAACTAATTAAATAAATAAATATTTAAATACCAGTGGAGTCATAATTTGAATACTTATCTCCACTTCCCAAACTGGTGACCTGGACGTGATTTGAACACGCAACCTTCTGATCTGTATGTCTGCAGTTTTGGGGCTAAATCCAAAGGCGGCGAAAGGAAGGTCGAAGTATGTTGCATTGGACATAAATAGCCTTTATAAAGGAAAAAGTCTAGAAAACCCTAAAGCAACTACAAACCTAATAAAAACTCGATTTATATGGAAATCACTCA